CACAGCCGGTGAACAAGGAGGTGAACGGCGTCTTGGGGGAGCGCCCCCCCCCACGCTGCCGCCTCCAGGAGCGCCGGCATCACCCCCCCCCGTCGTCCCCGAGCATGGCACTCGTCGCGCCCTCGCACTCACGCCCATTCATCGCACTCATCGAGAGAGAGAGAGCGCGCGCGCCGTGATGAGTGAGGCGAGCGGGGCACAGCAACGGGGGCAAGAAGGGCGCATCCCAACCCCCGGCCGTCAAGGCGCTCGACCCGTGTTTCGAAGCGCGGACTCTCGCCCTTCCTTGCCCCCGCGTTGGTTGCGCTGCTTCCTGCAGGCAGCGGGGTCACGGCGGCCTAATAACTCAAAGTGTAATTGCCAGATCAATTTGTAAATTACTAACTAAACCGATAGAGGAAGCTCATTCGCACTCAGCCCGCGTTTGGAGCTGACAAACGCATTAGTATATACACACATTTGATAACGCGGCCGCTTATTGTCCACGGGCGGCCGCCGCTCGCGCCTGGCCGCTGCTGGGGTCTTTTCGCTCGTTCCGGTCTGCGAGCATCTCTGTCTTTCTTTCTTTCTTCCTGTCTGGCTGCCTACGTGTCTGTCTCTGTTTGTTTTGTTTCTTTCTCTCTCTCTCGTTCTCTCTCTCCTTTAATCCATCCCTTACTCTCTCAAGGCATTCGTTACATCCCCTCCCTTCCGTTTACTTTCCTTCTCCTATTTTCCCATTCCCCACCTTCCCCTCCTCCACCCTCCCCTTCCTTCTCCCCTCCCCTCCCCCTCCCTTTTCCTTCTCCCTCCTCCCACCCTCCCTTCTTCTCCCTTCCTCCCCCTCCCCTTTCCTTCTCCCCTCCTCCTCTCCCTCCCTTTCTTCTCCCTCCTCCTCCACCCTCCCCCTTTCTTCTCCCTCCTCCCTCCCTTCTCCCCCTCTCTTTCTTTCTCCCTTCTCCCTCCCCTTCCTTCTACCCCCTCCCCCTCCCTTCCTTCTCCCCTCCTCCCCCTCCCTTCCTTCTCCCCTCCTCCACCCTCCCCTTCCTTCTCCCCTTCTCCTCCCCTCCCTTCCTCCTCCCCCCTCCCCCTCCTTTCCTTCTCCCCTCCTTTCCTCTCTCCCCTTCCTTCTCCCCTCCCCTCCTCCCCTTCCTCTCCCCTCTCCTTCCCTTCCTTTCCTTCTCCCCCTTTCCTTCTCCCTTCCCTTTCCTCTCCCCCCTCTCCCCCCTCCCTTTCCTCTCCCCCTCCTCCCCCTCCCCTTCCTTTCCCCTCCCCCCCTCCTTCTTCCCCTCCCCTTCTCCCCCTCTCCCCTCCCTTTCCTTCTCCTCCTCCTCCCCCTCCCTTTCCGAACCCATCGAGATCGGAGTGCTTATAAAGTGGGGCTAACACCTTTTTCTAAGGCTTAATGAAGGGCGTCTTGTAAACACTTCAGCGTCTTAAGGAGGAGGTCACACCCCCTTCCTCCTTCTCTTCCTCTTTTTTTTGTCTCTCTCCTCACCCTCCGAGTATTTATTCTCTCCTTTTTTTCTTTCTCTTCCTTCCTCCTTCTCTTCCTTTTTTTTTTTTTGTCTCCCTCTCTCTCTGCTTCCTCTACCTCCGAGTATTTATTCTCTCCTTTTTTTTCCTTCTCTTCCTTCGCCCTCTTCGTGTCTTTTCCTTCCGCTTTTTCGTTCAGCTCTTTTTACTTTTTTCTTTCTCTCTCTCCTTTTACTCTTCATCTTATTTTTCTCCTTGGCCATTTGCTCACCTGTTTCTTCGGGGAATTAGGAGCGGAAGAGATGAAGGAAGGGAGAGACGAGAGCAAGACAAATAAACAGGTAGATAGATAATCTGATAGATAGATAGGTACGTAGATAGATAGATAGACTGTCAGATTGGTGGATTCACAGATACACGGGAAAGAGGGAGATAGATAGATAGATAGACAGAGAGAGAGAGAGAGAGAAAGAGAGAGAGAGAGCAGGAAAACAAGAGAACGAGTGAGAGAGAGAGAGAGAGAGTAGGAGAGAACGAGAAGACGAGAGAAAGAGAGAAAGAGAGAGAGGTAGAGAGAGAAAGAGCAAGAGAACGAGAAATAAATAGACAGAGAAAGCGAGAGAACCACAGAGAGAGAGAGAGCAAGAAAACAAGAGCACGAGAGGAAAGAGAGAGAGAGAGAGAGAGAGAGAGAGAGAGAGAAGAGGAGAGAGAGAGAGAGAGAGAGAGAGAGAGAGAGAGAGAGAGAGAGAGAGAGAGAGAGAGAGAGAGAGAGAGAGAGAGCAAGAAAACAAAAGAACAAGACAGAGAAAGTGAGAGAAAGAGAGAGAGAGAAAGAAAGAAAGAAAGAAAGAGAGAGCAAGAGAGAAAGAGAGAGAGAAAGAGAGGAGGGAGCAGGAAGGGCCCAGAAAGGAGGCTGCAGCATCGTAAACACTCCAGGATGTTTCTCCAAGACGCAAGACGCTAAAAAAGGAGGAGAGGAGGAAGGGAGAGCATTCACGAGCCTTATTTTTGGTCTTCCCTTTTCTCCTCTGCTTTGTCTGCTTCGTCTTCTTTTCATATTTCCTATTCTTTCGCTCCATGGCAATCTCTTTTCATTTTTGCTTTTTTTAATAGGGATAATGATGACGATGATATCAATGCCAACAGTTCTAATGCTAATGAAAGGTAATGATGGGGATAATCAACGTAATGATAGTCATACAAGTAATGATGATAAATGCAATAAATATGTAAATGATGATAAAGAGGAAAATGTTCATCATCATTAGTATAGTGATATGAATAACAACAGCAACAACAATTATTACAATGGTGATAATGACAATAATGATACTACTACTACTACTATTAGTACTACTACTATTAATAATAATAACAATGATAACATTAACTGCTAGTAATCATGTTACCATGAGCATCAGCAGCAATGGTGATAGAACCTCTTTTGCCATTAGAATAATTTTCCCTTATCATTATCACTATCATCACCGTTAATATAAACCTCATCACCCCTATGACGCATGACACACGTTTACTCCAATTCATTTCTTAATTCATCTTCTCCTCTCTGCTCTTCATTCGCGTCATGTTCGAAGGCCTCAACACCCTCACCCACTCCACCCCACCCCCCCCCCCCCCTTCACCACCCCCATCCCCCCCCCTTGCTAAGTGGAGCCTAGGCCTCCCTGATCTACGGCCCCGTTACTTGCCCTCATTCTCATGCGCACCTTATCAACTTATCCCGCTGCATAACTCAAGCAGCAGGATGAGGGGAGGGGAGGGTGAGGGAGGAGGAGGAGGAGGGAGAGGAGGAGGAGGGGGAGGGGGAGGAGGATGAGGGAGAGGGAGGAGGGGGAGGGGAGGGGAGGAGGAGGAGGGGAAGAGGGGGCGGAGGGGGAGAAGGGGAGGAGGAGGGAGGAAGAGGGGGAGGGGGAGGGAGGAGGGAGAGGGGGAGGGAGGGAAAGGGGAGGGGAGGAGGGGAGGAGAGAGGGAAGGGGAGGAGAGGGGGGAGGGAGGAGAGAGAGATGGAAGGAGAGGAGAGGAAAGGATTTCAGAAGTGGGAGTTGGAGGGGGAGGAGGGGAGGGAGAGGGGGAGGCGAAGAGGGGAGGGAGAGGGGAATTGCAAGGGGGGAATGGGTTGATGGAGGGAGGGTTAGGAGATAAGAGATATGGGAGAATAAAGGAGGGTTAGGGAAGAGAAATGTAGAGAAAGAGAAAGGGAGAATTAGGAGGAAGAGAGGAAAGGGAAGAGATATGAGAAGAGGTGAGAGAGAAAGCGGAGAGAAGAGGGGCAGACGGAAGCGACGAGAGGTGAGGGGAAGGCAGGAGGGGGAGGGGAAGGGGGGTAGGGGCGTGTCAGGATTGCCTTGGGAAGCTGAATGCAAATGCGCGTGTGGGCTGAATGTGCGCTCAATGAAACCTTAAGCAGAACGGCGACGAGATCCGGGACCTGACTGTAGTTTACTGGGCGGGGAAGCTGCCTGCGAGTGGGCGTGCGGGCGTGAGTGTATATTTCCTCTGACGTACGATTTTGCGAGTGGCCGTCTGCGTGTCTGGCGCCCGAAGCGACACGTTTGCGTTCTCTGAATCGTCCCAGCTGTCGGTTCCGGAACGGTCAGCGATAACTCCCATAATAGCAGCGCCAAGAAACAAAGGTTGCCATGACAACGGATGGTAAACAAAGAGATGGGGAAGCTGCGATCTCACGGCTCTCGCGCTCGCACTTACTCATCTTGGGTCGCTTCTGTCCCGTGACGGACGCTGCTTGGGAACCGAAAGTTCGGTTTGTTGCGAACTGGGGAAGGCGGATCGCGCCTGGACTTGGCCGCTGCTTCGTCGCTGAGGCCTTGTCACTGCTTTCCTCTGGGTCTTACATTCGTCAATATCTTTGATGCATGTTCACTATATATCTATATCTATATCTATCTATCTATCTATCTATCTATCCATCTATCTGTCTTTCTATCTATCTATCTATCTATCTATCTATCTATCTATCTATCTATCTATCTATCTATCTATCTATCTATCTATCTATCTATCTATCTATCTATCTATCTATCTATATAGATAGATAGATAGATAGATATAGATATATGTCTGTGTGTGTGTGTGTGTTAAGCATACATTCATTTATTAGATAATAGGAACAAAGAGTGGAGAATAATGAGGCCAAGATATTTACCTGAATGATTTTTCCTCTCTCTTTCCTCCCCCTTCTTCCCCCCTCTATCTATCCATCTTTTTTGCTCCCCTTTTCCTCTTTCTCTTTCTCTCTCTCTCTCCCTTTGGAAAACAAATGGTAAATAACATGATAAATGGCATATGAAGGCCTGTAAATCATCATATTTTTCATATGTATTTTTTTTTCTCCCTTTTTTTCATTTTTTCATGATGGATGGAAGGAATATGCAAAAATCAGTCACAGAAACCTCCAGCATGACCATCGTTGGCAGGTTTCCATCTCCTCCATCATCTGTTTTCATCACTCTCCCTCCTTCCCTTTCCCCTCCTTCCTTTCTCCCTCTCTTCGTTCTCTTCCA